TCACAGTATAATATGTGGGGTTTATTGTAAATAGTTACCATATTTCTAGAATTTCCTCTACACTTTTCTGAGTTTCTGCTAAACCCACATGTGATATCTACTAAATACCACTAAGTTCTTCCTTGCATAATTTCATGCTGAAATATTCACATAGTCACAGATTTACTGTTAAATATATTGGCTCATGATTTCTCAATGAATGGCTTAAAATATGTGGACCAGAAAAAGTTAAAACTATGAAAAAAATATGAGTAACCACTGAACTAGAACAGATAAATTTTACATAGAAAAAAGTTACAGTCCACTCTTACTATGGACCCTCATTTATCAGAACATGAGAGGTAAATGGGAAGTTGGACCAACAGTAGCTGGACTCAAAACCGGACACAAAATGCCCTAGACATGTAACTTTGGACAAATTTCTGAGCTTCTCTGCATCTCATTATTTTTGTTTAAAAGATGGGGATTTTTAAAGATTAAATCTGTTAACTGATTATAACAGTATCTGGAACATATTAAATGTTATATAGTAATTGTCATTATCATCAGCGTGATCATCTCAGAGATTTAAGACATGTGCTTTTATCAAAACAATTACAAGTAGCTGTCACATACATATATCTGATAAGCTTTATTGATTTGTTCAAGGCTTCTCAGTGCTGTGATTTAATCATGTACTAGTGGTTCTCAGGCTTCTGGTAAAGATGATACTTGGTGCTTCTTTTCACCCTAAAATACTCTTCTCAAACATTTTCCTAGGATGGGCTGTAAATGCAAAGACTGTATATATATATATATATATTTTTTTTTTTTTCACTCTCACAGAAGCAATACCATCAGCACAATTTCCAATTTGATCTATCACATCAATTCTCCACTGGAAAACCTACAGTGCATTGTCATAAAATACAAGGAGATAATCATGAAATCAAAGTCAAATTGAAAAACCTCCACCTGCACTTTTTTGTGTCTATTGGTTTAATTTTGTCACAATGTATACTTCAATACTTCGTGCAACTTCAATCAAATGGTAATCCGTATTATAAAGGGTAGAAAGAGGGCGCCTGGGTGGCTCAATTGGTTAAGCGACTGCCTTCGGCTCAGGTCATGATCCTAGACTCCCGGGATCGAGTCCTCCATCAGGCTCCTTGCTCAGCAGGGAGTCTGCTTCTCCCTCTGACCCACCTCCCTCTCATGCTCTCTGTCTCTCATTCTCCCTCTCTCAAATAAATAAATAAAATCTTAAAAAAAAAAAATTTAAAGGGTAGAAAGATGATACTCAAGATTCTGATTTAATTATATATTTAAAAACATAATTTAAGCTTTCAAAGTTACCATCCAAATATTCAGTTTCTTATTTCCACAAACACCCAAGGAATAAAATAAAAGTTTGAATTTAAAACACTGGTAAGATATTTAACTTCAAACTACACCTGCCTCAAAGTTTCTGCACCAGGTCAAACTAACTCACATTCATTACTATAAAAGTAAAATAGTATTTTGCAGAAGTTACTGCTCTCTCACTATTTCTAATTTTAAGTCCAACTATTGTTGAGGGGAGCAAAAAAGGATTGAAAAGGGAATCATCAAGAGTAACATGTTAAGAATGGCCCAGTATATTACAGCAAAAATCTATTTTCATAATAATGATCATGATAGGTTTGCAGAAGATGAAAAGTCTACATCACAAGCAATATAAAACCTTGATTCCAGCTTGTTTCCAAGAAAAGCACATTTGAAAAATATAAACCCCATGTTTACTGAACAGGTAAATGTGTCATAATTCTGCTTATGCCCCTATTTCATACTGCTACATTTGCAAAGAAATTATTTGGTTCACGTTTTCCTCTGAAGTCATTTGAAGGTTAGCATGGCAGCCTGAGATCAAGGATGATAGTCATAAGATATTTACTATTAGGTATTTCATTTTTTCATCCTTTATTTTTCTGCTTTTTCTGCTTCTATTCATAGTCTTCTTTTTTAAATTTTTTTATGTGAGTATAGTTGACACACAATGTTACATTAGTTTCAGGTTTACAACTTCGTGATTTGAAAAATTTATACATTTTGCTATGTTCACAAGTGCAGCCACCATCTGTCCCATTACACAGTTATTACAATATCAGTGACTATATTCCTTATGCTCTGCTTTTTATTCCCATGACTTACTCATTCCATAACTGGAGGCCTATTTCTCCCTCTACCCTTCACCCATGTTGCAGACAAGAAAAAGAAATAAGAGCCATTCCTACTGGTAGAGAAGTTAAATTGTCACTATTCGCAGATAGCATGAAACTACACATAGAAAATCCTGAAGATTCCACCAAAAAAAAAAAAAAAAAAACCTAGAAGTAATAAATTCAGTAAAGTAGAATGATATAAAATACCCAGAAATTGGTAGCATATCTGTATACTAACAATGAAATCACAGAAAGAGAAATTAAATTTTTAAAAAACCACCATTTATAATTGCACCCAAAAGGATACAATACGTAGGAATAAACTTAACCAAAGAAGTGAAAGAACTTGCACTCTGAAAACTATAAAACACTGATGAAAGAAATTGAAGATGATATGAACAAGTGGAAAGATATTCCATGCTCATGGATTGGAAGAATTAATATTGTCAAAATGTCCATACTACCCAAGGTAATCTGCACAGTCAATGCAATGCCTACCAAAATACCAACAGCATTTTTCACAAGACTAGAACAAAGAATACTAAAATTTATGTGGAATCACAGAAGACTCAGAATATCCAAAGCAGTCCTGAGGAAGATCAGAGCTGGAGGTATCATAATTCCAGATTTCAAGACACACTACAAAGCTGCAGTAATCAAAACAGTATGATAGACATCATTTGAGTAGATGCATCATTCTCCTTGACCTTCAACCCCAAACCCATTATTTTTTTTACCTTGACTTCTCTGATATCTAATTATCTACTCTCTCATTTCCTTCCTCTATGACCTATGAGTGTAGGGGGCATGTGTTCCAGATGTAAGGGAAGGGATTATATGGATGCATACTAGTCCTAATGATTAAGGCCAGTAGCACTGTCTTTATGGAAAGCCTCTTGTAATGATCAAACTGCCACAAGCTCTGTCCTCTGGCCAAAGTCTAAATATTGTGTACCCTTATAAGGCTGAAGAACTTTTATAAGGTTTGAATAGTAACAGGGCAACTTAAAAACAAAAAACAAAAAAAAACAAAAACTAACAGGGCAACTTCACCAAGGTAAGGACCTACCTGACTTAGCATAATTCTTTACAAACCACCAAAGTCTAAACCCTTGACTACACATCAAAGACCAAGACATATACATGCTGGCCCTGTGAAAAGATTCTCTATATGGTCATGTAGTCTGCAAATTCTACTTCCCATGTTATGGCTCAGTGTGACCATAGCTATCCCCACTGGTCTTCTGAACAAATTAAGAAATAAGACATAGAGGGGTGCCTGGGTGGCTCAGTCGTTGGGCGTCTGACTTTGGCTCAGGTCATGATCCCAGAGTGCTGGGATCAGGCCCCACTTTGGGTTCCTGCTCAGCAGGGATCCTGCTTCTCCCTCTCCCTCTGCTGCTCCCCCGGCTTGTGCTCTTTCTCTCTCTATCTCTCTCTCTGTCTGTCAAATAAATGAATAAAATCTTAAAATTTTTTTTTAAAGTTAATATGTGCATTTCAGGGAAAAATAAGAAAAAATCTGTTATCATAAGCAGTTTATAGTTTGAGTGTTGAAGTATCTGGCTAAGTCCTTCTGTGTATTGACACATAACTGAACATTCATTTTTATGTGGTTGAAATGGTACAGTATATCATTCCTTTTCCACACATCAAAAATATTTACTTATTTAAACTCTGAAAGTCACAAGTATTTTGATAACTAAGATTATATTTCATCAATACGATCAGGGAAAAATGTAATTCTGCCTCTCATGGGAAAAAAAAATACATAGAATGGCAAAAGGTCTCTGGACAAAAATATTGGTAGAGTTATAATAAAATGCTGTATATAATAATGATCAATTTAAAATGACACGTAAAGAACTAGAATACAATAAGCATAATGCTTCCAAGAGAATTCACCATCAAATATATATAATTAAAATATTAGCAAAAATATGTTTTAATTGAATTATTGAACAATGTATTCATATAGTAAAGCCACATACAATGATGATTAAAATAAAAAATTAGTCTGAACACATCTGCATGCACTTCTTGCACTTCTTTCTGTCCCACTTCCCCACCCAATGAACAAGTCTTGATATATACTACTCAGAGGTAGTTCAAAAATGCCATGTCCAGGGATGCCTGGGTGGCTCAGTTGGTTAAGCATCTGCCTTCAGCTCAGGTCATGATCCCAGAGTCCTGGGACCGAGCCCCACATCGGGCTCCTTGCTCAGTGGGGAGCCTACTTCTCCCTCTCCCTCTCCCTCTCCCTCTCCCACTCCCCCCTGCTTGTTCTCTCTCTCTCTCTCTCTGACAAATAAATAAATAAAATCTTTAAAAAAAAAATGCCATGTCCAAGATAGCTTCTGTCTATCACTTATAACAAAAAAGATATTTACAAGTTGGTTTATTTACTAGCTCTACATTTATCACACACTGTTAACTCAAGATATTCAGAAACTTAGATGTTGCAAAATGAAGAATGAACTTTGTCCATAATAAATATAAGGACTTTATTTTTAAGATGCACATGGGAAGCCTTGCCTTACACTTCTTCTCCTCTTCCTCCTTTACCATCCCAATGACTCAGTACAGAAATGAGTCCAGCTGCAAGAGGAGGATTAACAAAAGTACTCCCTGAAAGCAATCCTTCCTAATAAACTAAACTAAAAAAAGAGAGAAAGATTTATAAAGAGGTCATTTTATTACTGCTACTTTAAAATATCTGGGGCATTTTTGACACGGCATTGTCAATATACACAGAAGCATGAAAGAAGATATACACACAAAACAATGGCTGTAATATGAAATATCTCCTAAATAAATTACCTGTCTGGCATAGCATCTTCTCTTTCTCCTCATGCTTTCTCTCCATCTCTTCGACCAAAGGACTTATTGGATGTGTAGCTTCTGGTTCACTTCTAGAGGTGGTCCAACAGTTCCATTCCCAGAAGTTATCCTCAGAAACATTTCTTTTCCATGCTGTTTTGTTGTTAAGGACATTTATAGGACTGTGATTTTATAACTCTACTTTATCATATGTCAGTAGTAGTTTTTCGTCTAGAAGGCATGGATGTTGCAACGTTAGGATCCTTTTATTTTTTATTTTTTTAAATTTATTTTTAAGATTTTTTATTTATTTGACAGAAAGAGAGAGAGAGAGCACAAGCAGAGGGAGAAGCAGGCAGAGAAGCAGGCTCCCTGTGGAGCAGGGAGCCCAATGCTGGGCTCCATCCTAGGACCCCAGGATCGTGACCTGAGTCGAAGGCTGCTTAACTGACTGAGCCACCCATGCGCCCCTGTAAGTATCCTTTTAAAAGGCTGGGGAGTAGAGGGAACTTGACAGGAACAGTTTCATATTATATGCACAGACCTTCCATAAATTGCCAGGAAATCATCCCAAAAGGTAGTGGGCAACATCGCTGAGATTCTTTCCCTAGATGACTCAGCCCTTCCCAGCTACTTCGCAGCTTCAAACTCTTAACCTTTGTCTCCTCAGACCCATACAATTGCCAACAATGAATTGGCAAATGCCTCAAGGGGAAAAACATAAGGCTGATGTGGGTACAACCACTGTTTGCTTTTCTTCTTTCTGAAATTTTAACATTTATTGATCTCTGCTTTCCAATGCCTTCAATTTTTTTTTTCTGTTTTATCAAGCTTTTAAAATGTATTTGGGAGAGAGAAGCAGACATTCCATAGCTCTTCATTAAAATCACACAATACCAATAACATTCGCATATTTTCCATAATTTCTAAATTATTCACATGCTTTGTGTATTTTCTAAATTAATGCTTAACACTGAAATTAGTTAGCCTATATATTCAGTTAAGTCCTAATAAATATTTTCTTGAAATGTGTGTCTATATACCCATTTTCTTTTGTTAAACTTGATTCATGTGAAGATGTGTTCATAAACTGTAAATATATCTTTATTCATTTACTGGCAACAAAGAAATCTCTAGCCAGAAATTTTTTCAATGATTTGAAAAAAAACTCCCAAGTCTTTCAAACTTTTTTCACCAGAAGTTTATACTGACATTTTCTTTATATTTCTACACTACATTATTGTTATTTATTGGAGTTCAGCATGTTTTATTATTTTTTGTACCTTGTAAATAAAATCACAGAGAACTTTCCTCTCTTTCAGTTTCCCCTATGCCACATCTATTATATTCCCTCTTTCTGATGTTTCAAGTAAATGCTGTATTTCCCAGTTTGTCAATCATGAATGATTTCTCTTTGCTGTCATGATATCAAATAAAACCAATTACAGCAAATGAGAGGTGATGTCTTTATCCAATATGTGCCTAAACTCTCTACAGTGACTATAACTTTGTATGAAGTTTAGACTATGAAATAGCTAGCTGTATGTCTCTATATTACTTAGAGATAGTTTACCAGAATTGGGTCCCACTTATATGATACTTTGAGTGAGAATATACAGAAAGGTTGAATTCTTATCTTCTAAGTTTTTTAAGGAAAAAAATCCAGGGGCTCCTGGGTGGCTCAGTCAGTTAAGTGTCTGCCTCCGGCTCAGGTCATGCATGATCTCAGGGTCTTGGGATCCGGCAGAGCCCCGTGTCATGTCAGACTCGCTGCTCAGTGGGGCGTCTGCTTCTTCCTCTCCCTCTGCAACACCCCCTTCATGCTGTCTCCCTCTCTTTCAAATAAAGAAATAAAATCTTTAAAAAAGAAAAGGAAAAAAAATCCAAATGTTAAACAAAAACAGTAACTCCAAGCTCACCCCACTGCTAATATCATCTTACTTTACAGTTAAATTTTACTCATACATAAAAATATATAGAATTAATTTCATATTTTATTTATAAGGAATACATGTCATAAAATATGTGACTCTTGTAGAAATAAAATTAACGTCTGTTATTTCTATATTATCCCTTATGATATTTTTAGTTGAACCCATACCTTATTTTTGATGGAAAACAAAATTTTATACAGTGGTACACCTCAGTATCTGCTATGAATGTTTATTGCTGCAAATATTTTTACAAAGCAATTAATAGCAACTTGAATAAGTGATAACTTGTCTTATGTAAATATATAGAGATAGGTAGTAGAAGGTGTTGGCTCACCAGTTTAACAATGTTCCATGTAGAGCTATTAATTGGTCTTTCCCTCATACTTGTTAAAAGACAGAATCAACAGCTTTAAACAAGTCCACGTGTGTGATATTGCTATTTGTAATAAGATTGGTCTTCCTCCCCTTCCTGGCACAGAGCTCCTAAAACCCTTGGAATTTCCTAAGTGATGAGAGCAATAAAACTGTCTTTTGCGGGCGCCTGGGTAGCTCAGTCGTTAAGCGTCTGCCTTCGGCTCAGGTCATGATTCCAGGGTCCTGGGATCGAGCCCTGCATCGGGCTCCCTGCTCGGCCGGGAGCCTGCTTCTCCCTCTCCCACTCCCCCTGCTTGTGTTCCCCTCTCTCGCTGTGTCTCTCTCTGTCAAATAAATAAAATCTTTAAAAAAAAAAACCCAAAACCTGTCTTTTGCTATGTTAATGAGGTAACTTTTGGACTCTGTCTAAGGATGGGGGCTGGATGCCAGGTGACCCAACCATAACCATGTGATTAGAGGGTTGGAAGTTTCAGTCAGACACTTGACATCCTGGGAGAGGTGAGGAACTGGAGGTTGAATCAGTTGCCAATGGCCAATGATTTAATTAATTATGCCTATGTAATGAAGCCTCCATAAAAACCCAAAATGGTAGGGTTCAGAGAACTTCCATTTTGGTGAACACACATAGAAATTCCCTGAGAGTGGTACACTCAGAGAGAGCATGAAATCACCAAGCCCTTTCCCCATACCTTGCTCTATGCATCTCTTCCTTCTGGCTGTTCCTGAGTAATATCCTTTTATATATATAAAACAAAAAAAGTGATCTAGTAAGCAAAATGTTTCTCAGAATTCTGTGAGCCCCTCTAACAAATTGATCAAACCTAAGGACAGGGTCTTAGGAATCTTTGATTTATATAGCCAAGTGGTCAGAAACAGGTGACAATCTAGACTTGCTACTGGCATCTGAGGGATGGAGGTATGGTGGGCAGTCTTGTAGGACTGAGTCCTCCCCCTGTGACATCTGATAATGCCAGAATTGAGTTGAATTCTTGGACAGCCAGTTGGTGTCTGAGAATTACTTGTTGTATATGAGGGTACTCCTCCATGTACACACAGGAACTCACAAGAACAAACAAGATCAGAAACAAATGGAAATAGAAAAGGAGCTGACCAGACTTCTATGTATGTCTTATTGTCTAGAACTGCATTAAGTGACCACCCAGAGATAGAAAGGAGACTGGGAATGTCCATGTCAATTTTGTACATCAACTTCAGCAACAGGTATCTATAACGTCTCTCTATACAGAGAGTATCAATTTTATTTTCCCATTTAGAGTATAAATAAAATTCAGTGAGTAGAGTGTTTTGAAAGATACCCAAATGAAAAAGAATGCACAATTCCTGACTCAAATGACTGACAAGATATAGTTGTATTCATACTTATGACAAAATATTCCAAGGAAAAACTACCACCCAAATAGGTAGTGGTTTGTAGCTATTACTTGAGAGAATATGTGTGTGATTCCAGGCTCCAGGTAAAGTCATCAATTACACGCCTGCCATTCTATTCAATAGCTTTATACTTACTTGAATGGTTTTATTACTTTTTAAATTTCTTTCAAAGCTTGAACATTACCCAAATATGGCTCAACTAAACAGTGAATGTTTTGATTCTCAATTACATGAAATAGACCACTAACTTTATTAATTTCTAAGAACAAGAAGGAGCTAAAACACAGGGTATATGTAGGGGATTGAAGGGCATTTCCCAAGAAGTAGAGTGGGCAGAAAAAATGCACACATTTTGTCCATTTAACAATTACAGCCAACATTTGCTAAACTTTTTTCATCTCTAAACATCAGCTAAACAAAGTAGGAAGACTATCTCCTTAGTAAATGTTTGAGACTGGATGTTTGTGTACTCCCCAAACGCAAATGTTGAAACCTTATTCCCCAATGTGATAGTGGTAGGAATTAGGATTAGGTAAAGTCATGAAAATGGAGCCCTCATGAATGCAATTTTAGTGCCTTTATTAGTCATGAAAGAGCCTGCTTCCCCTCTCCACTCTCTGCTAGGTGAAGATAAAATGAGAAGTTGGCTGTCTAAAATGCAGAAGACAGCCCTCATGAGCATGCAATCATGCTGGCAGTTCGGATCTTGGACTTCTATTTTCCATGTGAGAAATAAATTTCTGTTGTTTTTAAGCCAGCCAGTCCAAAGTGACAGAGATTATTACAAAAGAAATATGTTTATGTCCATTGAAGTTTTCAAAAAAATATTTTTTATAAATTTGTCACAGATCTTATAAACTGCTTTTAGAGTTTTCAAATATTTGTGATATCAAGCTTTCACCAAATTAGGATCTTTCTTTAACAATGCAGAATCAGCATTTAATTTTGAAGTGAGTTTTGAGTTGTTTAATTTCAATTGGACAGAAAGTCACACGTTGTGTCTTTAACTACGGTTATTATTGTTAGCTAATCCACAGTATATTTAATTTTATCTCTCTGCTCAGCATGAATTTTAAGTGTATCCTTTAAAAAACAATATGAGTAAATTGAATTCACATATCTCATGTTCAAGATGCTGAGATTAAACATTTTCCGAATCACAGAGAAAAAAACAACAACAGCAACAACAAAAAACAGCCTGTCTTGAGAATGAAAATCCTTTTGTAGTTATTGTGCTTTTTTTTCTGAGTAAAAGGAATAAAGCTTATTTTTTCAAGCTGCTAGAAAATAATCATCATTGTAAGAGTCAAATTTTCATAGCAATTAGTAGATTACATACATACACAAATATACACACATAGAAAAACAAGGATAAAAATGTTAAGAACACCAAGAAAAGAAAAACCTAATTGTTCATTTTCTCCATATGTATTTTGTCATTTATATTCAGTATTATATTCAGAGTAAAATGAGTAATATACGTGAAAATAATTTGAACATGAATATTAATCAACGTTAATGTTAGAACAT